AGGCTGGTCAACTTGCTCAGAAAACACTAAACAGCCCGTCCCACAAAACATTGAAAACTTAATTACATTTAATTATTTATAAATCATCATTATACATTAATCTATTAATAAATTAGGTGTAACTTAAATAAATACAAACATTTGATTCACTGAAGCATGTATCACACAAACTAACATTACTAAAACATTAATTGTTTCATTTTCAATTCTTCACATTAAGAAATAAATGGTTCTTTAGAGAACTGTTGACAAAGCAAAAAACGTTTTTGTAATCTTTATTTTCTTGCAGGTTATTAAAAGTAATCAGTACTTATTTGAGTGATTATGTCATAATATCACCTTCACATAATTTGTTTTTGTTTTTTAATGATACATTTTTGTATGTTTTCAACTACTGTACACCACCAACAGTAAAAAGTGTCCCCTTTTTTGATTTGGTTGATTTAAATTTACACGCATTTAAATTTAATAATCCCCTTTCAGGTTCTTTTCGAGAGTCACATCATTGCATGATGGGATGTACAACAAGCCATCAGATCCCATAGCCAATCCAATTGCTGCATTCAAACTGGTCAAAAGACTTAAATCCGAATGGTTGAATGTTGTCCATAGCACTGAAGCTGAAGAAAACATTAAAGGTAGTTTGCAGATCTTCACACACTAACTCAATAAAGTGAAAGCTTTTCCTTACTTTACTTTTGGCTTGATTTGTTCGCTTTACAACCCCCCATGTACTGTTTTTCGTAAGTCCTTAGGGAGGACTACAGGAGGATGGAAAGCAGTTTGCCCAATCTGGAGGACCTTCGGGGGGCGGCGCAAGGGCTGATGAGACTTCAGGATGTGTACAATCTGCGCGTAGAGAGCCTTGTGCGAGGTCACTTCCAGCAAATCACTGATCCTGTTGACTTTTACAAACTCCCTGTGTCCGATATGCTCTCTGGGGATGATTGCTTTCTTGTTGGAAAGGTAAGTGTTGAAAAAACACTAGCAGTCATGCTCTGAAAGTTTTGTGAATCTCTGGGAAAGCCTCTTGAAAAAATGTGGTCCCACTTGAACACTTTTACTGATGTAGATTCCATAGGCCTACTGCTCAGTTTATTTATTGACTGATGCCTTTTTCTTTTAGCATTCTTGTTATAAACAACATCTGTTCATTTCACCGCTGTTCAGTGCAACTACTAAGTGAAATGGGCCATGTTAAAAAATCATTTAAGTGACAGACCTATTTACTAAAACTTTAACCTAAATGAATATTCATTCATTTATTCATTCATTCATTTTCTTTTTGGCTTAGTCCTTTTATTAATCAGGGCTCACCACAGGGGAATGAACCACCAACTTATCCAGCATATGTTTTACGCAGCGGATGCCCTTCCTGCTGCAACCTATCACTGGGAAACACCCATACATGCTTGAATTCACACACAATTTAGCTTATTTAATTCTCCAACAGCACGTTTAAGTAAACCCACACAAACACGGGAAGAACATGCAAACTCCACACAGAAATGACAACAGACCCAACCAAGGATTTTAATATTCACATTGATAATCCAGAAATCAATGCTGTAAAAGAACTGATGACTGTTTTTAACACTTTTGATCTGACTCAGCATGTTCAAGGACCCACACACAATCGTGGACACACCCTTGATCTACTTATAACTAAGGGTTTACACATTTCATCGACTGTTGTTAAGGATGTGGCACTATCTGATCATTTCTGTATCTTTTTTGATATATTGATCACTCCAGCTATTAAAGACAGATCTGTCTCTGTCAGAAAGAGATGCATAAATGAGAACACCAGTGAGCAGTTTATGAAGGCCATATCGCTAGCACCAAGTATATCTGCAGATACTGAACTGAACTAAACTTAAACACTAAAACCTGAACCTCACTGTTCCAGTTACTGAACCACACTGTTCCAGTTACTATGACCATTTATGTGAAGCTGCTTTGACACAATCTACATTGTAAAAGCGCTATACAAATAAAGCTGAATTGAATTGAATTGAATACTGTTGATTCTCTCCTTGATTTGTTCAATTCTAAAATTAACAGGAGCGATGTCATTTATGACATTCTCAAAGTCAAGAAGATGACTGGCAGGCAAAAGGGATCTTGGACAAGGTCACTTAGAGTACAAATGATGAAAAGGCAGTGCAGAAAAGCTGAGCGTATGTGGAGAAAGACGAAACTAGTAGTCCATTATAATATCTATAAAGACAGTCTTCATGCCTTTAATATGGAACTAAACACTGCTAGACAGACTTTCTTTTCAAGCATTATAAACAGCAACTTAAATAATGCTCGCACACTCTTTGCAACGATAGAGAGACTCACAAACCCCCCCAGTCGGATTCCAAGTGAGCTCCTCTCTGAAAGCAAATGTAATGAGTTTGCTCATTTCTTCACTGATAAGATTAATAATAACAGAAAGGCAATCAGCTCATCCAATCAGTCAAGTTGTGTCGATATGAAACAAGCTCAACCACAACTTAAGAAATCAGACATTATGTCTGATTTCATGGCAATTAACGGCAAAATCTTAGAAGAAATTGTGCAAGTTATGAAAACATCAACCTGCAGTCTTGACATGCTCCCCACATCATTCTTCAAAACGGTGTTTACCTGTTTAGAAATGGATCTTCTAAAAGTGGTAAATGGTTCACTTCTCTTAGGGATTTTTCCAACCTCACTTAAAACTGCAGTTGTTAAACTCCTCTTGAGGAAGAGCAACCTGGATAACACCCTATTGAGCAATTACAGGCCAATCTCCCATCTCAAACACCCATGACGTGTGGAGTCCCACAAGGCTCGATTCTGGCACCTCTCCTGTTCAACCTTTACATGCTCCCTCTGAGCCAAATAATGAGAAAGAACCAAATCTCCTACCACAGCTATGCTGATGACACTCAGATCTACCTAGCCTTACTGCCTAATGACTACAGCCCCATTGACACCCTCTGCCAATGCATTGATGAAATGAGCAATTGGATGTGCCAAAACTTTCTTCAGTTAAACAAAGAGAAAACTGAAATGATTGTGTTTGGAAGATGAGGTTCTCAAGGTTAATGCGTACCTTGGCACTAAAGGTCAAACAACAAAAAATAAGGTCAAGAATCTTGGTGTGACTCTTTTGAGTCAGATCTGAGTTTCAACAGTCATGTCAAAGCAGTCAGTAAATCAGCATACTATCATCTAGGGCTGTAACGATACATGATATTAAATCGAAATCGCGACACTCAGATCTACGATCCTGTGTCGCGGTGTGATAAGGGAGAATCGCGACACACCCCGTGATACCTTTCCAATAACGTCAGGCGTGCCTGCAAAAGTTGAGCTAATTAACACTTTTTTTCATTCGACATTACAAGCACTGCTCCGTTTTAGCCCTTTCAATATTCAGCCGGGAGAGCTCGCACGGAGCTCTTAGTAAGGGACCATCTGAATGGGATATCAAAAACAAAACCAACTTAACCCCGCTTGACAACCGACAACGCCAGAAACATTGCCAATGCTGTCAAAGTGCCCGGATTTTCAGCGCATATACGATGATTTGCTCACACTGTTAATGTGGCTGCGCAGAGAGGGATGGGCGTTCACCAGATGTCAGGTAACAGCGCAAACTTTTCTGTAACCGTGCTGTGCGCTTTCTGTTTGAACTTTTGAGAGTGCTGACTGACAGGTGCTTTCAGTTAAGATGAACACAGTTTCTATAGTTATACTTTATTTATAGATCTGCAATTGCCTCTCTGAATATCACACTAACTGTACCAAAAAAAAAAAAAAAATACTAATACTACTAATACTTCCCTTCTTAGACTTTACAGACCTGAAACTTGCCTATAGCACTTATTCATTGTTGCTCTTGGTTGTGTAGATTGATTCCTTGTCCTCATTTGTAAGTCGCTTTGGATAAAAGCATCTGCTAAATGACTAAATGTAAATGTATGTAGAGCCATATACCTTTACATTTACAATCACTCTATCTTGCTGGAGTTTATAGCCGTTTCGCTTTACTTCAGGACGCATTAACGCTGCTCTGAAGGTCTAATCGCTGTTTTAAGTTATCCAGAGCTGTATGAATATACAAATCTTGAATATCACAATAGTATTAAATATTACTATTGTAACAACACAGACAGCAACACTTTTGCACAATCGATACCCAGCTAATTCAGTCGTTTCATAAGAGGACCGCGCCTCTTCTTTTTTCCTTGTCAACATAAAGGCAGTGAGGTGCGCCTCGTTTTCGGCCCCTTGTTTAACTGCAAAGGCATACTTAATTTGCAGGACGATAACGTGTAACCCATGCCTACAGACACATTTGCCAAAGAAGCAAAATGGAAGAAGAATATTGCTGTTTGATACAGACCTGTTGATGCTTAACCAGCGCTTATGTTGACCTGGATCTGCGTAATAAACGCAACAAATAGGGTTTACTTTTTATTTTACAGCTTATGAAGCATGTACGCAGATTAATGCAATATCATATTTAAACAACAAAACTGTTTACAAAAAGTCTACATATGAGCGCATTTTTGCTGTCTTTTCATCACGCAGCGCGCGCACTTGAACCGCGAGGGAGAGAGAGGAAACCATATGCTATATCAGGACATAATCTTTAAAATAGAAAATGATTTCTATTAAAATGTAAATGAAAAAAAACATGATTGGAAAAAAAAGCCTATGCCGGTTATTAAAAAGAATCAGTCAGTATTTTCGTTTTGTAATATAAATTAATTATTTAAGTGAAAATAATTTAGGGCAGTCCTATTTTTTTTATTCATTTTATTTAGATTATTCTGCTCTTCTGTGCTAAGCACCTGCAGGTGCGTGGAAATGCTCTGTTGTTCTGTTCCGCTATTAATATTCTAACATATAGCCTAAAAATAAATCAGTATTTTAAAATGCAATATTTAATGTGTCAGACACAAAATAGACACGTCAATTTGTTTAATATAAAATTAATAGTAATCTGACCAGTTAACCCGTAATAACCGATTAATGAGCGGCGGTTGTCGGTTAGCAAAATTAACGAAATGAGCATCCCTAGTAGCTATTTAATTTACTTTTTCTATGTAAGAGAACTTGATTGAAAAAGAATTTTCAACATGCTTGAACCATCTACACAATGGAGTTTAGTTCTGTTTGGTTTTTCAACAGTATTTTGGGTCCCACTTAATATTAAGTGGCCTTAACTAATATGTAATAAACTATTAATTCCTGTGTAAGTACAATGTACTTATTGTGTAAATACATGTATTTACTGTGTAATGCTTGATTAAATACATGAATGTAATTACATATGTAATTAACTATAGTAATTACATTTGTAAATACACTGTTGACCATCCCTTACACCTTAACCCACCCTTAAACCTACCCATGCCACCAAACCTGTCCATAACCCAACACCTATCCCAACTCAAAAGCACCACAAGTGTTCTCAAATACATTATGAACACAGTAAGTACATTGTATTTATTTTTTGATGTAAGTACATAGTAGTTAAGGACACTTAATATAAAGTGGGACCGTATTTTGTTACCCAAAGCTATATCACTTCTGTTTTCTTTGTATTTATTTATTTTATATATGGCTATATTGTTAATAATTTGCATAGTTAATATTGTTCTTTGATGTTTAGTTTATAAAGATTTTTCAAATGTTATTTAATAAAAAATAGTTTTAAAAATCTTTTTTTCCCACCCCACACGAAAAAAAAAATAATAAAAAATCGTGATACGAACCGAATCGTGGGTCAAAAATCGTGATACGAACCGAATCGTGGGTTTGGTGTATCGTTACAGCCCTACTATCATCTCAAAAACATAGCAAGAATCAGATGCTTTGTTTCTAGTGAAGATTTAGAAAAACGTATTCATGCTTTTATCAGCAGCAGGGTGGATTACTGTAATGGACTCCTCACTGGTCTTCCTAAAAAGACAGTCAGACAGTTGCAGCTCATCCAGAACGCTGCAGCCAGAATTCTAACCAGAACCAGAAAATCAGAGCACATCACACCTGTCCTCGGGTCTTTACACTGGCTGCCAGTTACATTCAGAATAGATTTTAAAGTATTATTACTGGTCTACAAATCACTAAATGGCCTAGGACCTAAATACAT